ACACACCTGCAAGTTCCTGTGAGCCCTCCACATTGTCCTTTCAAAGAAACCATTTCTTGTGTGTGTGTGTGTGTGAGTGTGTGTGTGTGCGCGCGCGCGAGTGCACATGAATGCATGCACTCACAGGGACCAGGAGAGGGGTTTGGAGCTCTGGAGCTGCGGTTGCAGGCTGCTGTGAGTCATCTGATGTGGGTGCTGGGAACTGAGCTCCAGTCCTCTTGGGAGAGCAGCTGGTGCTCTTTCTTACCTACCGAGTCAACACTCCAGCCTCCATACCTGTCCCTGATCTTAAGGTCTCTGTACAGGATAGCCATATTACCACCTTCTAGAATGTTCTTCACTCCTTTCTCTACTTAGGTGGGTCTCATTGGCTGCGTCTCAGCCTCGGAAAATGAAGGACTGACTTGGAAAGAAAGCAGTCTTGGGTTCGAATCCCAACTGCATTATCTTAGGCTAGTCAGTCTCAGTTTACTCATACGTGAGATGGGGCTAACAGAGGCATGGGGAACATGATTATGTCACAGAAGCCCTTATCCCTGGGCAGTGCAGAGGGAAGGCTTAACAGACATTGATGAAGACATTCCCGAAAGGGTTGTTCCTTTAAGATGGGCAGGATGCAGTGATGCCATCACTGTGGCCTGTGGCTCTTCTTTCAGCTGTCACCCTGGGTTGCAAATGCTCCTCAGCTTGACAGTTGCCCCTCTTAGAGGACACCCATGGCGTCTCCCTTACTCTCCGTGCCCACCTCCCAGGCCAGCATGGCAGCTTGTCCACTGAAGGCGTTAGGAAAGGGAATGACCAAGAGCAAGTCTCTAAACTTTTCCATCCCTATCTCCAAAGTCACAAGTTTAGCCAGGGATATGTCTAAGACTTCTTCGTATTCTTTGTGAAGTTACTGCTAAATTTAATGTTCAGCTTTGGCTTTGATTTCAAGGAATGGGCCTGCACCATGGTCTGGAGGCGGCCACCCCCACCTTTCAGCTCACCACCAGCATTTACCACCAGCATTTGCCGCCAGGCTGGCAGAGGTGGGCCAGGTCTCTGATGAGGCAGTGAGGTCCCTCTTGGGAAGGTAACCAAACAAAGAGCATCTGGAGCCCTTACTGGGGACATTGTAGGAGAGCTTCGTGCTGTCCTTAGCTCCTTGTGGGTATCAACATCCTACTTGGTGGATGAGAAGCTACAAATCCGCAGGACGATGAATGACAGCTTCAGTCTCTCCCTCTGTGCATGTTGGGGCGGCCCTCCCTGTCCTAACTGATTCCAGGTGCCCCTGTGTGGGGCTGGGGAGTGACATTGAGGACCACACACACACAAAGCATGTGACTCTGTGTGGGGCAACGATCCCTAAGAGTGCACAGATCCCCCAAAGAAGGACAAGAATGCCCACAAGAATGTTCTCACGAGCTATTTTACATCACAAGGGAAGTAGAGAAAATATAGTTTTTTCCCTCACACAATGGTTTGCACTTGGATTCCAGACCACTCTCCTGTCTTGTTCTCTGAAATGTACTTAGTTGTACTCACAGAAACCGAGAGAGACAGAGGAGGGGGGAGGGAGAGGGGAAGAGGAAAGGAGAGAAAGATAGAGACAGACAAACAGCCAAGCAGATATACACAGCCACACACATACATACACACACAAACACAGAGACAGACACACAGAAAGACACATAAACACACATAGACAGACAGATACACAGACAGAGACAGAGAGACAACCAGCCAGTTAAGCAGATACATTCACACACACACACACACACACACACACACACACACACACACACACAAACACAGATGGACACACAGAAAGAGACACAGACAGCTAAGTAGATACACACATACAGACACACTACCTACAGACACGCACCGAGACAGACAAAGACAAACAGATACACACACACATACATGTGTACACATGAATGCATGCAGGTCATTACAGACAATGCAATTCCTGTTGAAAACCAAACCTACCCGAGGCTAGGGAGGTGGCTCAGTGGGCAAGCCACTTGTATAAAAGTGTGGGAACCTGAGTCCAGATACCCCAAACCCATCTAAAGCCTGCAGTAGTGTCTATCTGTCACCCCAGCTCTCCTCTAGCGAGTTTGGAGGGCAGAGACAAGAAAATCCCTGAAAACCCCAGGGCCTGCGCGATCAGTGAACACAGTAATTAACAACAAGAGGCTCTGTCCCAAGTGGAGGAGCAACACCTGAGGTGTCCTCTGACCTCCATGCGCATGCTGTAGCACACGTGATCTCAACCCAGCAGACACTAAAAAAATAAATAAAACCACCCCACCTTTGGCCCGACTCCCTAACCTGCCACCATGTAAGAGTCTCCATTCCTGCTCTATCAGTGCTAGGAGCCAGCCACAAGCATTCTTTTTTCTCTTGTTCTCTCTTTAGTCTCTGTTCACTGGTGCCAATGTTTACAAGATATAATTAAGTTTCCTTTCCCACACAATAGCTAATAGCCAGCCCTTTCCCACGCTGTGTCTCGTTTTCATCTTTATCTCTTTTAATAACTGCGTTTCACTGACTAGTTCTGTCATAATCTCTTTATACATTTCCCCATTGTGGTCCCGGTAGGTAATATTTAAAATTTAGGTTAAAAAAATAACAATGCAACAAAGACTCAGATCTATAGAACCTTTCCCTCATTTTGGGTTTTTCTAGAGTGGGAATTCCTACATGTGCAATTACCAGAAGAAAGGATACAAATATCATAAAAATGTAGCCCATAAACGCTGTTATTTTTCCTGAATTGGTCCTTATGCAGAAAATGGTTGTTCCCCACTGAGGTACTTGGGTGGAGTGAGAGACTCTGAGATCAGTTTTATGCCCAGGACCCACTGCCTCTAGGATGACGGTGCTGAAGCCTGCTGACTCCTAACTTAAGAAGCAAGCTCCCTCGTTCTGAAAGCAGGCATGCCTTCCTGGGACCTCATGATGGTAGTGGGGCTGGGGTAGGACACACAACGACCTGAGGAAGGAGAAACCCCTGGCAGGCTGTGATGCTCACATCATCACCCCAGTGAACAGACAGATGGACGGGGAAAACCTATTTCTCTCACTCTGAATCTGTGAATTATCGCCAAGTTTCTGGACCCATGCACGGAGATCAGTTAAAACCGCAAGGTCTCTCTCTTCTGCCCTCCAACGCATCCCCAGCAACACTAGACTGCCTGGAGGGGAGGGGAGGTGGGAGGCTGGAATGGTCAGGGTCCCGCAGGCAGTGGAAGGGGCAGCTGGTCTGGCTTTGGGCCAGATGAATGAGACCTATCCACTCCTGCATTCGGCTAGAAACACGGAAATGGTTTCGCGGATGTTTCCATTCTCACACTCCCTGGAGATCGCGGATAATAAGTAAGTGACATTAACAGATTGCACACTGTCAGCATGGGCACTTCTTTGCCTCCCGGGAATTGATGTTTAATAACAGTGCGGATGACGTGTGGCAGGGGTTGTCGCTGACATGGGTGTTTTGCAGGTCTTAATACATCACACCAGACCAGAGTCTCGGAACAGACGAGGTTGCTGGGTGCTGTTTGTGGGTGGCACTGAGGCAGGAGCACACTTGGCCAGTTACTTCATCAGCCAGGGCTTGGTTTTCCCCATCTGTAAAATGGGCATCATCCTCTCAAGCTGACGGTACTATTGCAAAGGATCAGGAGAAGGAATGGCCAGTCCTGACCTTTTCAAATATGGAAGTTGGTCACTCTTAGAATAATGATGGACTAGAAAATACAGGTGAGAGGTTTAAGAGCAGGATGACATCTCTATCATCATGAGGAGATACCTTAAAAGTGATAGCGGAAAAAGACACAACATCTTTCTTTCTCAATAAAAAAGTGCAGGGTAGAAAGCTGGACCTAGTGTTGGGTCTAACCTAGAGCAGTGTCCCCCTGCTCCAGCAAGCCCCCATGAGACCAGAACAACAGATGGGTAGTTATTCCATATTCACAGTAGCCAGAGCTGGACATGTGTTTTCGATGCAGCATCTAACTCAGTCCTCTTAAGATTCAGAGACGCAATTACCATCATTATGAGATTTTTATGGGTCAAGAGACACACAGGGAGGGAGGGACAGAGATGTTTGGGGACCAGATGCGTTCTGGAGCCCCCTAGCCTTTGTGTGTAGCTCCTCTGTCTCAGTGGACAGGACCAGGCAGGCAGCGGGGTGTACAACAGGGGAGGCTACAGTCTGTGCAATCCTGTCTGCAGAAATGCAGAGGAAGAACTCAGGGACAGTTAGGACTCTTGACTCGCCAAGAGAAGGTGGACATCAGGATTTGTCAGTTATACATGTTGGCGACTTCTTAAAACTTGAACTTTCTCTTTCTCCCTCCCTCCCTCTCCCCTTCCTTCCTTTCTTTTTTTGAGACAGTATCTTGTTAAGTGGCCTAGGCTAGACTCAAAGTCACTAAATAGTCTAGGCTGGGTTAGAACTCATGTTCTTCCTGCCTCAGTCTCCTTAAGGACTGGGATTACACATGCGTGTCACCGTACTCAGACCTAAAACTTTCCGTCTTTGAAAAAGGTCCTTGTCAAGCCAACCTTCCAAGCTTGGATGGCACCTGGCCTTCCAGCTTGTCATCTCTGGTCCTTGCAGAGGGTGTTGCATCACCCTTCTGAAGCCATAGGGAGCACCCGTGAGAAGCCTGCTCACATCAGTGTGGCTCCATTCCACACTCTGTGCTCAAGAGAGGGAGGACACATGAGTGTAGCCTAACTGTGGCGTGGGATGACCCATCGGATACGCAGCCAAGTACAGACTCGAGGGCCTGAGTGATTGGCTAAAGGCTTATGAGAGTCAGGGTGCTGAACCTCAGGAATGGCCGACTTATAGAGTGCATTCTCTTTACCCCGTTGAGTATATCAGCATGGCCCGGTGGCAATGAATGGGCTTTGCTCATTGGACAGCGGGGGAAAGCGAGAGCTCTGTAGGTCTCGTGCTACTAGCCAGTACTATGTAAGTGACCCAAGGCCCTGTGACTCACAGCACTCGGAGTGACCGCAGCCCGTTGAAGGCATGGACGGGGATGCATCTCAGCCGGTTGTAGCTCAGGATCCTGTGGAAAGAGAAATGGGAGGCCGCTGGCTGCTCCTGCTCTCGTGGGTGCACTGTTTACACTGCGGACCGGGCAAAGCAAACGTTTCTTCTGATTTCCCTGGTTTAATGTATCGTCAAAGGGACCGCAGTACAGAAGGAAGAGAAGCTTCCTACCACTCCAGGAAGCTCCTAAGCTGGTCCCCCGCCCGCATGTTCCACAGCAGACTGGCTCTCTAATCAGATTTCCTACCCCCTCCCTCCACTGTCAAATGGTGTGTGCTCACAACGTGCGGAGCTAATGGGAAGTAAATGGGTCTGAGCAAAATATAATTGTGTAGGAGATCCTCCACTGGGAAAGAACATGCATGCTTCCCAGAAGGCATTCAGAAGACAGCCTTCTTCGGAGGTAATTAGCTGCCAGTTCCTCCATCTGCCAGGCCCCTACCTCTCCCTTTTGCATCTTCCGGTGTCTAAAGCCTGCCTTTCACTGGGGCAGCTGAAGCCCCGAGGACCACGACAGTCGGGCACCTCAAGAATGAGGGGTGACAAGACTGCATGGCCATGCCCATGGATGCTAAACATGGCTGACGCCATACTCACAGTGTGGAGAGGTGGGACATGTTGCTGAAGGTGTAATTGGTCAGCATGCCAATGCTGTTGTTGCTCAGGTCACTAGAGAAAGTAAAACAGAAAAGCCACGAGTTACTGTTAGCTGCTACAGAACAGCGGTTCTCAACGGGGGGCACTTTTGTTCTACCCTGGCATTTGGTAATGTCTGCAGACTTTTCTTTAGGCTGTCGATACTGGGAAATGCTACTGGCTTCTAACAGAGGCCAAGGTCACCACCTAGGTTCTCACGATAATCATGACAACTCCCGTAACCAATAATTATCCAGTTTCAGACGCCCATTGCTCTGAGTTTGAGAAATGTTCACACAGACACTGGTTTCTGGAGAACAAGAATAGGGACTAAATGGCGGCTTTCTGAAACCTTTTATTACTGCGCCTCTGATATTCATTGTGAAAGACCCATTCTTGTCTCTTGTGGACTGGCTCCTACCCCTCTCAAGTAGACATGGGCATCTTTCAATTACCACTTGCCCAAGGAGTAATTTCACCCCTCTGGGTCCCACCAAAGCAAGGCAGAGACGCTATTGAGAGGCAGAGCTCACAGGCCTCTTCCATGCCCAGGTTTACTGTTCCCCATTCAAGAGTTTTCAGGTTCTTGGGAGGCTTGAAGATGGTAGCAGGCATTATTGAAGGCCCTTGGTTTAAACCATCAACTTGGGACATTTTCTGGGAAACCAGAGAAGGAAGAAGGGATGCCTGCTTGGGCTCCTGGCAGATCTAAGTGTGGTCACAGTTCCCAAGGAACTGGACTTCCAGAAGACTCGGGAATTCAGCTTGGAGCCTGGAAGGTCAGAGGCAAGTCAACAGGAAGGTAGTTCGGTGCCCATGATGACATTCTGTGGCCATTTCCACACACTCGCCTCTCTGGAAAATTCTCTCACAACAGCCTGCTCCGTTTCCTCCCTGCTGCTCCTCCATGCACCGCACAGGCTGAGGACTGCTGGATCTGCCACAGCACCCTCCTCTCTTACTCCCCAAAGTCCTGTACCACACCACCTCAGGGAGGAGAGACAAATGCAGGCTTCTTACATAAGCGTCAGCTGGCGGAGCGAGGACAACTCTTTGGGCACCGCCGTCAAATGGTTTCCTTCCAGGTACCTGAAAGAGAGGTGCAGAGTGATTGCACTGGGAAGGGTACTGCACGCTAGGCACACCACAAGAAGCCTCCATGAGTCACCCCCCCCCCCCACCATCTGTCATCCTTGTGTAATCCTGAAATCACTCAGCCGGTGATATTTTTCTCCACTAGACTGAGTAAGTTTCACGAAGCAAGAGTTCTTGTTAAATTGCCCTTCACTGCATCCTACAGGGCTCTTTACAATGCTGATACACACTCGGCACGCGGTGCAAATCTAGTTAATATTAATAAGTGAAGCACTCACTTAATGCTGACCTATCACAATATTTGAGTAGCAGCAACACAGAGCTGAGGAGCCACTTACTCCAGGCTACACAGAAACCATTAGTTGATCTAGAGGCTAAGCAGTGGGTTAGTGGTTCTCAACCTGTGGGTCACAACTCCTTTGGGGGTTGCGTATCAGATTTCCCGCGAATCAGATATTCACATTACGATTCATAACAGTAGCAAATATACAGTTATGAAGTAACAAAAAAATTAATCTTATGGTTGGGGGTCACCACAACCTGAGGGAATGTATTAAAGGGTTGAAGCGTTAGGAAGGTTGACAATTCCACATAGCTTTTACTTAGCTCCTGGAAGGGTAGTTAGGGGAACTTAGCCATCATTTGTCGTAAGAACTCAAATTTAAACTGAGGGAGATGCTAAGTGGCAGATGATACTCAGGGAGAGTCTACTAGAACCTGCAAGGGAGTTAACTGGGGAAAGTTGAAAAGTAGCAACCACAAAAGAAACACTGAACAGCTGGGGGGTTGGGGGGGGGAGAGCTACACCCAGACCAGAAGCATCAGCAGGGGGCGCTGTGGGAAGCCTTCCTCCCTTGGTGTTTGGTGCTCAGTACTGGCAGCCCAAGACCCTCCTGAACCATACTCGAGAAATACCCAGTATTTCAGGACTATCTTCTGACAAAGAGGATATTGTGACATTGGAAAAGAAACCCCGAGTCAGGGTATAGAGCATTCAGGCAACAGAAAGCCTAGAGGAAACCCAAGTGTCCCCAAGAACTTTCATGCTGACTCCACGCAGCACACAGGACACCAACAAGAGCTGTGCAGGACCCGAAGGAAATGACAGAGTAGGGCCAGCTCCCGAGACTGCGTCTGTCATCGGATCGTGCACAGGAGAACTCAGAAGGGAGAACGGGAGCATCCACAGCAGAGGAGCCCCAGGAGCTAAGCAAAGCTCTAAGAGCTGGGGAGGTACACAACAGTCTAGGTGGAACCGAGCAATCGGCTCACTAGGCTTTCATATCCTCTATTTTCACCCAGGTTTCTATCCTTCAGCATCTAACCTATCTTTATTTAACACCCAATGCCATATTTTGTTTGTTTGTTTCTTTGCATAACGGCTGTTCTGGAACTCATAGAGATTCGCCTTCCTCTGCCTCCTGAGTACCACCACTGCCCAGCTACCCAATGCCATTTTAGTTTAGGTTTTTTTTTTTTGTTGTTTTTTTTTTTTTTGTTTTTGTTTTTTTTCGAGACAGGATTTCTCTGTGGCTTTTTGGAATCTGTCCTGGAACTAGCTCTGTAAACCAGGCTGGTCTCGAACTCACAGAGATCCGCCTGCCTCTGCCTCCCGAGTGCTGGGATTAAAGGCATGCGCCACCATCGCCCAGCCCCAATGCCATTTTAGTAGGCCAGTGGCTTCATTCTGTTCTTGACCCACGCCTATCCTTTTTCGTTTTCCTTCTTCCTCTCCCAAACAACATAATCTGGCCTGATTTGCAGGGCCTCTGTGCTCAGCTCCTCGGGAGATGGGGCTGTTCTACAATATCAGATAGAGTATCTTCAGTTTTCTCTCTCTAGCAGACCTTTATCCTGAAACCCCACCTCCCTCCTCCTTTTTTGTCCCTTCAGGTCTCTCCTCTACTTTCTCTTTATCATCTCAATATGCACATTCACATATGAAATCACCATTATCCTGATACTCAAGCCAAACAAAGACACAACAAAATAGAAAACTGTAGACCAATCTCCCTGATTAACTCAGATGCAAAAAAAAAAAAAAAAACCAAAAAACAAAAAACAAAAAAAACCTCAACAAAATATTTGTGACCTGAATTCAAGGACAAACCAAGATGGTCACTTACCATAAGCAAGTTGGCTTCATTACAGAGAAACAGGATCATTTAAGCAAATCAATAAATGTAACACATCACCCAATGGACTCAAGGAGAGAAATCACAGGATCAACTCAATAGATACAGATAAAGGCCTTTGTCAAAACCCAACACCCTTTCATGATAAAACCCCCAAGAGGCTAGGAAAGGAGGAAACATAACAAAGGTATCTACCATGAGGTAAAGCCAACATCATGCTAAATGGAAAGTAGTTCCATTCAAATCAGGAACAATACAAAGGTGTTCATTGTCATCTATTCGATATGGTGTTTGAAATCCTACCCAGAGCAGCAAGAGAAGGAAATAAAAAAAACAAAGAGAAAAGGAGGGAGTTAAATTTAATGTGTACATTCCATGATTTAATATGTGAGAAACCCTAAAGACTCTGCCAGGAGGGCTGGAGAGATGGCTCGGTGGTTAAGAGCATTGTCTACTCTTTCAGAGGTCCTGAATTCAATTCTCAGCAACCACGTAGTGGCTGACAACCATCTGTAATGGGATCTGATGCCCTCTCTGTCATGCAAAGCACTTATACACATAAAGAATATGAAAAAAAAACCACCACAAAATTCTGAGAGCCAATAGACACTAAGGTCCCAGTAAGGTGGTACAAAATTAAACACACAAAATTCATCAGCCTTCCTATATATTAACGATGTAAATAAATAATTAAGATGTGAAAGAAGTGAGGGAAATAATCCTGTTCACAACACATTCAAAAATACAGAAAAACATCTAACAAGTGAAGCAAAAAGACATATACAAAGAAAACATTCAAACAAGGAAGAAGGAAACTGAGGGAGATACCTGAAGATAGAAGAAGCACTCTCTCATGCTCATGGATCGCAAGATATAATCCTGTTAAAATGGCTTGCCTACCAAAAGTGATCTATAGATTCAATGCAACGTCCATTAAAATACCAGCATTATTCTTTACAGAAACAGAAAACAACAACAACATTAAAACTCATATGGAAACATGAAGGACCCCAGATAGCCACAGCAACTCTGAACAAAAACAACAGTGTGGTAGTTATCAGTGCATGTGATTTCAGGTTATATTACAGAACAATAGTGACCAAAAAAACAAGGTATGGGTACAAAACCAGACTCAGGTCAATGGCAGAGAAGCGAGAGCTGAGAAACAAGCCATGCGCTACAGCTGATTTTCATTACAAGAGGCAAAGACCAAACCAAACCAACAACAGCCACACCCAAGACCACACCCACACACACTGGAGAAAAGATAGCCTCCTTAAGAGGTGAAGCTAGGGAAACTGGATGATATCGCTAGCAGAGGGACACAGCTGGCTCCTTTCTCCAACCATGAACAGAAGCCAACTCTGAGGCTGAAGACCTTACTGTAAGACCCGAAACTCCAAAGATGCTAGAGGATCAAGACCCAAGGCACAGCTAAGGATTTTCTTCCCCTGACTCCAGTAACTCAGGAAGTAAGGTCAACTATTGACAAAGGCAACCTCATGCAATTAAAAAGATTCTGCATGCAACAAACAAGCAAACAAACAAAACCCCCAAACCTGCCCACAATAACTCAGTTATTAGAAGAGACAGCCTACAGAACGGGAGAAAAATCTTTGCCATGGATTCATCTCACAGCTGATTAATATCTGAAATATACAAACAACTAAAAAAAAAACCCAACCAAACAAAAACTCAGTGAAAAAATAGGCCAAGGAACTTAACAGAGAATTCTCAAAAGAACAAATATGAATGGCCGATAAATATTTTAAAATGGGCTCAACATCCTCAGCCATCGGGGAAATGTAAATTTAAGCTACTTTGAAATTCCATCTCACCCCTAGTCGGAATGGTTATTATGGAAAAAACAAACAGCAACAAATGCTGTCCAGGAAATGTGGAAAGGCGAGCTGTTGTTCACTGTCATTGGGCGTGTAAATAGCATAGCCAGTATGGACATCTGTCTGGGGGGGGGGTCTTTAAAAGCTAAAATTAGAACTTCCACATGACCCAGCTACAGCACTCCGTGGTGCGTACCCGGAAGACTCTCCATCCCACCACAGAGACACTTGCTCATCCACGTTCACTGTGACTCGATTCACAACCTCTAGGAAATGGATTCAGCCTAGATGTCCATCAGCGGAGGAACAGATAATGAAAATGTGGTCCATGTACACAAGGAGTTTTATTCAGCTGTAAAATGAAATTACAAAACGTGCAGGAAAACGGATGGCACTGGAAAGAGGAGATCGAGCGCGGAAGCCTAGGTCTGGAAAGACAAATGCTGAACACCCCCTCCCTCACGCAGAGCCCAGTTTCTGATTTTTATATAGGTGCACTTGCGTGGGAAAAAATGTGGGCAGAGCTCAGGAAACTAGAAAGGGGCCAATGAGAGAGGAGGGAAGAGATTCTTTAAGGTGAGGGAAAGTCATAGGACACATGTGGTATACGTGGAAGGGGAAACAGGAAAGGTTTATATGGGGATGGAAGACATGGAGACAGGGGTAGGAAAAGTAGGTGTGTGTGTGTGTGTCCAAACTAATGATGCATGACAAAGTCATAAGGAAATCTGATACCTGTAATCCAGCCAGACATTATATTAAATATGAAAGCTTGCATGGAGGTACATGTGATTGTACAATAACACTGAAATATACCATGTATGAAAAGGTCAAAATGAAACGAAAGTTATTGTTGTGTATAATTAATATATGACAAAAACATTTATTTATTTTTAAAAAAATATTTATTTTATCTGTATGAGTGTTTTGCCTGCCTGTATGTCTGTGTACCATGTGTGTACCTGGGGCCCACAGAGGGCATTGGTTCCTCAGGAACTGAAGTTACAGATGGCTGTGA